CAAATGCCCATGGCAAAAGAGAAGGGGCGCACTCAAGTGTTTTTTTTGATTTCCCCCCCCCCCAGCAGAAAACAAGGAAAAGGGTGCCACTGTGAAATGCGGGACAGATTCTTCACAGCCAACATGCTCTGTGGTATCGCGAATTTGCTCAGTGAATGCTTCCCTGGTATTAGGTATTTGTCACTCACATGGGTTGGAGCCCCCCTAATCAATGTGCCCCGGAAAGACCATGTGGGCTTCCAGGGTTGCAATGGCTTCAACAAATTAGACCAAAACAAACAATTCGACGGGCCAACAACATGCCAACAGGTCGGATCGTGACAACCGAGCTGCTGAAAAGACCGACCCGAGAAGGCCGTCTCCTCTCTGGGAAGATGCCAAGTTTGCTGGTTTAGTTAAAAACTCAGGGGAAGCCACTCGTTTTGGGGGCTCCCCTGTTTTGAGGAGCCAACTGTTTGGAAGAGCCAGCGCCAACAACAAAAGGCAAAGCGTCTTCATCGTCACTCTGACTGGGAGCTGCTGCAAGTACTCGCGCAGGCTCTCAGTAGACACATAGCCCACCAAGGCGCGATCCTCCTGCTTGTTCAGTGACACTTGCACAAAAAGCAAACTCGTTCGCCTCCATTTGCTTTAGCCTCTTGGACAAAACAAATTATGTCCAATGACCCTTTGAAACCAAAGAGGGAAATACACATTCTTACAAGCAAACGGAAGTGTTGGGGTTCATGAATCGTGATTTTCTTTTGACCCAGTTGTGGCTGGCTTGCTTTCGAGGGAGTCCTCGGACACGATCACAGGGAAGCCCCCGTACTCCGCCTGGTTCACCAGTTTTGTAAGCACTGAGATCTGACAGGCATTGCAGGTCAGGCATTCCTTGGTGGGCCAATGGCACTGGAAAAGTGATGACCGTTCTGGTTGAACCCCTTTTAACATGGACCTCCAAGGCTTTAGGCGAGGGGGATATCCCTAGATAAGCCCCTAACAAGGCATTGCTCGGTTTGATCAAGGATATGGCTGCCCCCGCCCCGATAACCCCTCTGGGATTCCATTTGTCCAAGGCCCCCTTACGACGTTGGAGCTAGTTTGCACCACCAAGGCAGCATTTCAAATAAATTCAACAGCAGGCCTCCTCACGTTTGCCATACCAAAAGCCAAATTTGGTCATAACCACAACACGTTCAAGATAGTACTTGTTTGGCCCAGTAGAAATTCCGGCCATGTGTGCAAGTGAAGCGGATGACGAGTGACGAACAGTGTCATCTACTTTCACCCAACTGTACTCTTGGATGGTGGCTGGGATTGGTGGTTCTGCCTCCGAATCTGGTTCAACTAAAGAAGGTACCCCTGGATCTTGCATATTGAGAATCAGTTAACTGAAGGACCCAGAAAGATGTTTAGTCTTCTTGTTCGCCCGAAATTGTTGATAGAATCAATCAGTGGGAACTCACCCCATGAAACTACAGCCAGCTAGAGTTACCTGTCGTGGACATTGACCAAAAAGGGGAAGCTGAAAGGTAGATTAGCTTTGGGCAAGCAAAACGAATCTAAAACACAACAAAACACACATGAGGCAAGGCGTCAAGCTCCTCATCCATGACATCCCCGGCGCGTGACTTAAAGACCACCGACTCAGACATTAAGTGGGGATATCCCCGGAGACTGATGTGGCACTCGTCCATGGAGCAGGTGAGCCTCAGTGGTGGGCACGGACCCGCCCTGATCAGATTGTGTCTTGAGCCCGCGGCGTGAAATATGATGATCCCCCGCTATAGTCTGCTTTTTTGGGAGGCCAATGAGGAAGAAGCCTTCCAAATGCCCTCCGGATTCTTTGTGAAAATGCGGGAGCTGCCCCGCACCACCCCAAAGCTTATTTGGGCAGAGACCCCAAACCTTGTAGCGGTTGGGGAAGAAGATGCAAAAAAGCACAGGGAACGAAAGCGGTCTTTGTTGTTCTGGCATATGGGCACGGAATGGGCGCAAGAACTAAACAGGCAACTGACTATCAACAAAACCAAGCTACCATTGACATACGCATGTGTATACATACAAATATATATATATATATATTACAAATCTATACATACGGACATGTGAATCCATGTGTGAATAATTGTGAATATATACAGATATGTACATATATACATTGTTATTTACTAACGAGCCAGTACAGGCAAATAACAAAACAACACATTGGGATACAACTTGTGTTCGTAAGCGGAAACGAAGGTACGTTCGGACTAGGAACAATGGGAATAACCAGACTCCTGCCCTGTTTAACACCCATCACACCACATCTGACATCACACCCACTGTCTGTGGGACAATCCATATCAGCAACACTTAAGGGATGTCAAACACATATTGGGCTGGATATGTTTTCAGCGATTGTTGGCAACCCACACGTCCCAAAGTTACAGGGACCACTTCCCAAAACATGAAATTCCCCAAACTCATCAGGGCCTCCCACTTCGATGCCACACATCACCGGGCTGTTTGATGACACATCAAGGCACTCTCTGCCTGAGTGGGTCCGCCAAACAAGTCAAAGTAAATCCAAAAAACTCAGGAGCTAAGGCTAGTACCTGCTCTGCACATGAAGGTTGTTCAGCGTCAAACTCACTCACAAAACATATATTCAGTGGGAGGTTGGCAGTTGTGCGTGGTTGTGCTTGCATTATGCCCGTACAGATTGACATGAAACTCGCACAGCACTCATGTGTAATGGAATCTCCTTCGAGGGATCAAGCTTTCGGGCTCTACGTTCATCTGCACGGAGCAGGGCTCGGAGTAGGGCTTTCTTTGTGATACCAACATGGGAGTCCGATCCAACCATATGAACATGGGGACGGATATTCGCCCAACTTTCCCACGTTCCCCACGCTGCGGGGGAGGGGGATGCCTACTGGTAGGTTAGCACACAAAACCGGAACGTCACGTCCCACGAAAATCAACAAACGGCTAACCTTTCCAGGCCATGACTGGAAATGATTGCCCAAACTAGCTAAATCCAACTGCAAAAAAGGCGAAGGCCTGCAAAAGGAACAGCACGCCACTCTTAGCCTAAATCTGCATTGGCTTCAAGTAGCATTGAAAACAAGACACCACACCAACTCATGTCCAACAATGACCTGCAGTACGCTTCCCCACCCTTTCCGGGATCCTTCGTTGTAGAAAATGTGAGCCAGCAAAGGGCATGGGGAAATTGGTGGAAGCACCTTCCGTAAAAAGGAAAACTCATGAGCATACCGGCCGCAGCATTGTGCTACCTATCGCAGCAAGAAAAGAACAAGGCCGACAGCTCCGGGTTTGCCTTTTGCCTTGCACCGTTAACGAGTCCTTCGTCACTTGGAGGTCCCTCCTTCCTCAAGGGGTCAGGTAAACTTCCCTTGACAGGAAAACCGAACTATCCATTCGCTCACGGCCTTACCTTACATTAGCTTAAGCCCCCTGGAAAAAAAAAAACAGCAACAACCATATTTCCGGTAGTGATGGCTTCTCCTTAAGACCAACCAGGGAACGTAACAAACACATCTCAAGCCAATGGAAGATGCTGGAGAAATCGCCGGTGCCCAGGCGCAGACTGCCCACCCAGTTGGCCGTCATGATGGCCACCATGAAGGGCACGACCAGCTGCAGTGCGCCTGTGAGCTCGAACCTCGTGGCGCACCGACTACTGATTGCTCGTGTTTGGACCTTGGGACGGATCCAAAAGGACACCTGCACTTCTAGGCCATGCATGAATTCCAAAAAGTCAAAATCAGGATACACTGGCGCACTTGACACGAAAAAACAAAAAAAAAGTACGGAAAATCAACATGCCCACACATTCTGGTGTCCTTATGAATGGGATCGATCATAAATAGGTTGTTGGCATGCTTACGTACGATTGTCCTTCGGCGCTGGGGATCGGAACCCGTTTATTGAAAGCTGCTTAGGGTCCCCTGCATGATCTCTGGTGCTGGCCACTTGCTGCCCCGCTCGTCCTTGGAATGGTGGCGTTTTGACACCGTCAAGAAAGCAAACAGGGATCCCCTTGCAGGGGCCCCGGGTGCAAACACACCTTGCTAAGGGTTCTTACCTTATCAACGCCATATTTGGGCCATAAGGGGGACACCACCTCTGTACACCCTCCCTGCATGGTTTATTCGCGCCTCTGTGCCTCTTTCTTTCAGGACTGAGAAACCATCTGAACCCTCTGGCACAAACACCGCTGAAGAAATGCAGTCCCATCTTTCGCTTTGATAGTTTGCTGCCCAACCATGCCAAAGGAAGCACCTAACTTCAACACGTGGGCGTACCTGCCAAAGTCAAACATGAAATTAACATGAATGATCAAAACGCAACGGCTTCGTGTTGGCACCTTCCAAATCAATTCAAGGCCCTTGTCTTGGAATGTGTGCGGCTTTGCTTCATGTGGTTGGGCGGTGCCTTATACGTAGGTTGCATAGCTAGCCTAAGATGGGGCGCCAGGGCCTTGTGCGGGCCTCGAACCTTGTGCGCGGGTTCCTTCGTGGCTGTTCGTGCGCCAAAAACATGCCACATCTGCTACGGGCCACGTACAAGTGTTGCGCTGAAGGCATCGGCATCGAGCAAAAACAGACCCAAAAATGGTTGAGGTCCTCCCAATGTCATATGGATTTCACTTCGGGAAGCCCAGCCTTTCCTTGCACATCGCCCACAGTGCAGCATTGGGTGATGTTGAGCCAGCCCAAAGACACGTGTACATTGGACTCTCAAACACTGCAGGTAAAGAGCAAGGCAGTCAACGTGTTTGGTTGGCTTACTCGCAACATGTAGATGTGCAGTGACACATTTTGTTCGACACCACCACCCCCTTGCACCCTTACATTGCCTCTCAGGAACATGGCACACTGGGTGTTCTGAGTGCATCCTAAGAAAATCAGCCGGGTGCCTTATGGTGCCCTATGATTTTTCTGGACAACCCGAAAAAGATTCTGAATGAGCTGGTGAAAGAAGGGACCCTGTGGCATTGCGTAAGCTCACATCGAGAAGTCCGGACACTGGGCCAAGTGCTGCGACTCGCATACCGAGAAGCAGCGAGGATCATAGTTGGGGAATCTCCTCGAAAGCGATTGGTGGACAAAGGCCCCAAGGTGCTGTCCACAGGGATCCAAATCAAAACTTAGGGAATCCTTTTTGGCAAATAACCCTTCGTATGACATATGGAGATTGTTCCCATGACTTGATAGCTTTGCAGCAAATTCCCTCTCAGAAAAGTCCAATAATGGTTTCGCAGGATACACCGATCACCCGCCGCTGTGCTGCCATCCTTGCGCGTTCGAGGTGGTGTTGAATCTGGGTCGACATGATCGCCGCCTGCTCGCTCACCTTGTCGGCAAACGGACCTTGAGAAGCCCGCGCTTCGTTGGAGATCACTGAAAGCGGTGTCTTCAGGCCATGTGCGAGATTTCCGACATGGGTTCGAGCTCGTTCGACAATTTCCTTGTTGGAGACGATGAGCGCATTCAACTCGACTGCCAAAGGCGAGATTTCGCGTGGCAAGGCTTCATCAATGCGTTCCGTTTCTCCCAGCCGAACCGCCGAGAGCGAGGAGCGCAGCCTTGCCAGAGGCCTGAGGCCAACCCGGACTTGAAGGAAAATTGCGAGAATGAGGCCAATACCGACGATGCAGAGCGTCAAGGTGACAGTCCGCGAGAATTCTGCAATGTCCGCCCAGAACCCGGCCGTTGCAGCCCCCACCGCGATAACGTAGGAGGCCTCTCCGATCGTGATGCGCTGCTGCAGGACCCGCACTTCATCTCCCGTCGGACCGCTGACAAAACCCGCACTGCTGTCCATGTCGCCAATCGGAGGTGTATTCAACGGATCACCGAGCAGCGATTCGGACGCAAACATTATCGACGGGTTGTCTGCGCGCCGCACGGTCCAGTACCACCCGGACAAGGGCAGGGAAAATCTCGGATCGCCCCGGTAGACCGGCGCCGCCACCGACTGGATCAACGTTTCCGGTCCGCCGTTCTGACCTGTTTCCAGCATTCCGGCGATGAGGCCCTTGATATGAACTTCCAGCTGGGCATCAAAGGCTCGCTCACTTGCGCTCTGATAAAGACTGACGAGGAAAACGCCTGCCAATGCAAGTGTTATGGTGGACCAGACGGCCGCAACAAAGACCAGCCGGGACGCGAGAGACCACTGACGACTACCTGTCTGTTGCGCCTTGGCGACAGCATCACGGTCAGTCGTCACTGGGCTCTCCAAGACGGTACCCGAGGCCCCTGATCGTTTCGATCATGTCCGAACCGATTTTCTTGCGCAATCTGCCGACGAACACTTCGACCGTGTTGGAGTCCCTGTCAAAGTCCTGATCGTAGAGATGCTCGGTCAGTTCGGTCCTGGAAATCACCTTACCTCTGTGATGCAGCAGATAAGACAGCAATCGATATTCGTGGGATGTGAGCTTGATCGGATTGCCGTCGACGGTTACCCGCCCCGCTCTCAGATCCAGGCGCACGGGACCGCAGATCAGCTCGTTGGAGGCATGGCCGGCTGCCCTGCGAACGAGTGCACGCACCCGTGCCAGCACTTCTTCCATGTGAAACGGCTTGGCAACATAGTCATCTGCACCGGCATCGATGCCGGCCACCTTGTCCGACCAGCGGTCACGGGCAGTCAGAATCAGGACAGGCATGGTTCGGCCGTCCCTGCGCCAGTTTTCCAGCACAGACAAGCCATCGAGTGTCGGCAGGCCAAGATCCAGAACCACCGCATCATAGGGTTCCGTTTCACCCAGAAAGTGGCCCTCTTCCCCATCGGCGGCGCTGTCAACAACGTAACCTGCCTCCTCAAGAGCAGTGACAAGCTGACGGTTTAGGTCGGTATCATCTTCGACGACGAGAATTCGCATTGGAACCAACTTCTTGATTAATCGATCGGAACGGTGGGTGGCGGCTGCAAATCCGTGCAATCACCGCCGGTGTACCAGTCACCGGCTGGCGTTGACTGTGACATTCGTCACCTTGCCACCCTTGAGAACAGATAAAACGTAGACATAACCGCCGCCCTGCTGACAAAGCTGCGCCTTCACGATTTCCCCACCGGCGCGGCCCGCGACCGAACCAAGAGGTGCGGCCTTGCCGCTCGCCACGGCTTCCCGCGCCTGAGCCTGGGACAGGCAGGCTGCTTCAGCTGGCAGGACCGCAGCGAAGGTCACTAGCAAAAAGGCAAAGATCTTTTTCACGAATCCCGTTCCGGTTCTGTGTCTCCAAGTCATGGGCAAGGTGTAATCAATTTTACCTGAACGCAAGCTGAACCCGGCATTCAGGGCGTTTGCGAAGAAACGGAGACGCTCGACTCGAATTCAGGAATTGCCAATCGGGCGCGGTCTGTACAGCAGCCTGGTTGATCAAAAGCGGAGTACAATGACGTCCAGCTGGCCTCAAATCAGGCCGAAGGGCGCATTTCAAACCATCACCATCATTCCGGTGACCGCTCTGTTGCCGCAGAACACAGTGTTCAACGCCCTGGAAGGGGACTCAATCATATAACTCGAGGGGAGCAGCAATGTTAAAAAGAGCTTCCAGTTCACGTTCACAGTAAAACTACTTACATCACATCTATGCCTGTTCACGACGAACTGCTAAGCTTCGCCCATGTTCAGGCAATTCGTTCGATCACTCACGGATACCGCACATAATCCCGCCCGCAGCCTGCGCGTTTGCATTGGCGCTCTTGGCCTTGCCGTTTCCGCAATGGTTCCTGTTCCCGCAACTGCATGCTCGCTCGCGCTCGTTCTGGCAATGGACGGATCGTCCAGTGTTGATCATCTGGAACATGACCTGCAGCTGAACGGCATGGCGCAAGCGCTCAGCGACCCGGATGTCGTTCAGGCGATTGAAGCTGTTGGCGGTATCTGGATCATGAGCTTTGAATGGAGCGGCCAGCGGCAACACTTCCTTCAGCTGGGATGGCAGCACCTGACCGATGCTGAAAGTGCCGAAAGGGCAGCAAGCACGCTCAGAGAATCGCGGCGCGGTTTTATCGGTTTCCCCACAGCGATCGGTTATGCGTTAGGCTATGCCTCCGTCCAGATGAGCCGTGCGCCCGCCAAATGTGCGCGAAAGGTGATCGATGTGGCAGGCGACGGGATCAACAACGACGGATTTCCGCCGTCGAGCGCCTACAAGGCATTTGATTTCGAAGGCATTACCGTCAACGGTCTGGTTATTGAAGGAGCCGAAGACTCCCCGCTTCAATACTATCAAAGCCACGTCATCAGCGGTCCTGGAGCATTTATCGAGGTTGCCGACGACTATCAGGACTACGCGCGCGCCATGAAGCGCAAGCTCATCCGCGAAATCATCGGCAACGGTTATGCCCTCGTGAACTGACCCTACGCCTTGCGCCGGCTGGTCTGCTCGGCAAGCGCTTTCGAAAACGCTTCCAAGGGTAATCCTTCGCCCAGCGCTCTCAGAAACAGTTGCTTTTGCGTTTCGGGAGCAAGGCCGCCGACCGGCGGGTCGTTGTCCAGGTTGGTCGGGAAGGAATATCCTTCTGCACACGCGGAAACTGCCGCATCAACTTTCGCCTTGTCCCAACTGCCGGATCGGGTCTTTTCCAGAAGTATCGGATAGAGCGTCTTGCACATTCTTTCGCGGTCAAAAGTTTCCATGGCGCGACAGAAGGCCGACGATATCTGAAGAAGGTTGGCCAGCCTTTGAATGTCTGTGCTCCTATTTTCCCCGGCCGCGTGGAAAAGCGCAGGATTGAAAAAGAGAGCGTCTCCTTTTTTCAACGGCAGCTGAACATACGCACTTTCAAAGAACTCCTTGAAGACATCCTGCCTGTAGGCCATGTAGCCCGGCCGGTACAGCTGGGAAAACGGCAGCAGTTTGGTCGGACCGCTTTCAACGGGCATGTCGGTGTGCGCGATGGCACCCTGCAGCGTCATGACCGGCGACAGATCGTGCACATGTGCGGGATAGTCTGCACAGACTTCCTCAGTCTGGAAACCCAGATGATAGTCGCGATGCGCCTGTTGCGCACCACCGCCAGGCCGCACGAGATTGACCTGAGAGGTCATTTGATAATTCGGACCGAGCCAGGCCTCGCAAACGGCATCGATCGCCGGATTGGAAAAACAGCCGGCAAAAGCCTCCGGATCGCGGAGACACAGTTTCTGAAGCGAATTCCAGATCCGGTCATTCGCGCCCGCAGCTGCAAAATGGTCCGCACCACCACCCGAGGCTGCTTTCTCGTCCCGGATAATGTCCTGGAAGACGCTCGTTGCCGCGTCGAGTGGGGTTGTATCGGAAAAAGCGCCCTCCAGCACGAGAACGCCGGACCGGTGCATCAGGATATGCGCCCACTCGGCCAGTAGGCCACGCCTGCCCTCAGTTCCTGAGAGCAACCTGTTGATCTCGGACACGTTGTAAACCGGAATGTTCGACACAACGCGCTCTGCGCGGGGCGCGTCGCTTTCGCTCAACTGCTGGTCTACCAGAACCTTGAAGTCATCAATGCTGCAACTTCCGGCATCGAAATAGCCATTGGGGATCACCTGACGATCCATATTATCCTCCCATCGTCATGTTGTGCCTGCAATTCTAGCGGATCCGGACTTGAAGTGTTTCAGATATTCCATCAAGAATCCATCAATGACCCATCGTTTCCCTGTCAAGGAAATCGCGCTGCAGTCGGGATTGAGCACCGCGACCGTCGATCGCGTCCTGAACAACCGGGCGCATGTCAGCCCGCAAACCCGCAGGCGTGTGGAAGACGCAATCGAGGAACTGGCGCGACAGGAAACCCAGCTGTCCGCCAAGGGCCGTCGCTTCTTTATCGATATTGTCGTTGAAGCACCTTCACGGTTCAGCCGCGAAATTCAGCGCGCGAGCGAAGCCGTCCTGCCGCTGTTCAGGCCCGCGGCGCTCAGGCCGCGTTTCACTTTTGCTGAAACCATGACGGAAAATGACTGCGTCGCCGTGCTGGATCGAATCCGGAAACGTGGCAGCCAGGGTGTTTGCCTGAAGGCCCGCGACACGGAACGGGTGCGCGCGGCAATTGACCGGCTGACGGCAAAGAACATTCCTGTTGTCACAGTTTTTACCGACATCCCGGATGCCCGAAGGCTGGCCTATGCCGGCCTCGACAACATCAAGGCCGGTCAAACCGCGGCATATCTGATGCTCAAGCTTCTCAAGCCAACGGACACGTGCGTCCTGACAACACTCAGTCAGCATGCGTTCCAGGGCGAGGAAGATCGTTTCCACGCATTTCGCCTCGAGCTTCACAGGTTGCGCCCCGACATCGAGCTGATCGATGCGAGCGGTGGAGGCGGCCTCAACCCATCGACCGCCCAGGAAGTTTCCGCGAAGTTGAGCTGGCCTGCCAAGATTGCAGGTGTCTATTCCATGGGAGGCGGCAATTTCGCGATCCTCAATGCTCTGAAAGCCTCCGGCCACACGCCAGATTTCTTCATCGCCCACGATCTGGATGAGGACAATCTGGAGCTCCTGCGCAAGGACGTGCTTACGCTGGTGCTGCACCATGACCTGCGTGACGACATGCGAATGGCCTTCCGACACATCCTCGCGTTTCATGGCGTCGGCGAACCATTGAACCAAACGGAAAGCGATATCCAGATCGTCACGCCGATGAATATTCCAGCCGGATTCTAGGCAACGTCCGGTTCAGTCAATCTCAAGCATCGGAGCGTCCGTAGCCCTGTTGTTCCATGGATCGATAAAAATCCTTGAGCGTCTTGCCCGGCTCCGGCCTGAAAGTCTCTCCGGTCTCTTCAACGTCCGACATGCGGTCCAGGCGGAACATGCGGAAATCCCGTCGCAGTTCACACCAGGCGACAAGCGTCCAGACCTTTCCCCAGAACCAGAGACCGAGGGGACGTATGACCCGCCTGGACGCGTCACCCTTGCCGTCCATGTAGGCGACCGACAGGCTCTTGCGTGTATCTGCCGCGGCCTCGAGACGGTCAATCAGGTCACGTACCTGCGCTGTCATTTCAGGGGCAAAGGCGTGGATTTCGACTTCGTTCTGCCGGACACGCATCTTTTCCGGAATAACGGCATCGATCTTGATCATGGCCTCTTCGGCCGCACGCGCCATGGCCGCCCCTCCCCAGGCGCGGATCAGACGCGCACCAGCCAGAAGAGCTACGATTTCGTCTCGGGTGAACATGAGAGGTGGCAGATCATATCCGTCGCGCATAATGTATCCGACGCCCGCCGCTCCCTCGATCGGAACACCGGATGCCTGAAGGTCGGCAACGTCGCGATAGATGGTTCGTTCAGAAACTTCCAGCCATTCAGACAATTGCCGTGCCCGGACGAGCCGGCCGCCACGCAGATATTGCACAATCTGAAACAGGCGGTCGGCACGTCTCATGCGAGTGGCTCCTTAAGCGGCGAACATTCCGATCGAATTGCCATCCGGGTCGATCCCATAGGCGAATCGCCCGGCGGGGATCGGAATCGGATCCGATACTACCTCTCCGCCGGCCTTTGCGAAGCGTTCCATCGTCTCTTCCAGGTTGTCCGGACATGCAATGTGAACCGTCGGTCCCGTTCCCTTCTCGGCGGGCTTGCCGGGATAGAGGTGGCCTGCGATGCCCATCTTGTCCTTGGTCGGAAACATTGCGATGTGATTTGGTCCCATGTCGGTGATGCGATTCAATTCGGTTTGGAACACCTCGTTGTAGAAGCTGATCGCCTTGTCGAGATCCGAGACAGGGATCTCCATCCAAACGGTGAAATTGTCAGGTGCGAATGTCATGGGAAGTCTCCTTGAATGCTGTGATGGAACGCAATCTAGCAGAGGTCTCCTGACACCCTTCTGTCAGGAGTATTTCCTCTCTTTCCCTGTTTTTTTCCAGCGTTTCAGCCGTTTTCTGACTTTGCATCAACTGCGGATCAGAGCGAACATGACAGTTTGCCGACTTTGTGACATCGCGTGTGCACCGATTGAAACAAAACTTTAACGTGATAGACAATCTAACGTCATTGAAGCCGGGGAGAGTTACCGGCGGCTGAACCAACAGCCCTACCCTCGGAGGTTCTCATGAGAAAATTGACCTTGGCCCTGCTCCTTGCAGGCACAGGCGCATTTGCATCCGGCGTTGTCGCCAAGGATGCAGGCTATGTCGGAAACGTCGACACCGTTCACGGCGAACAGGCCGCAAAAAGGGCGAGCGGCAAGGTGTTTGTCGACACCAACCGGAATTCAAGGCTGGATGCAGGCGAAAGCGGTCTGCCAGGCGTCCTTGTTTCGAATGGTCGGGAAGTCGTTGTCACCGGACCGGATGGCTCCTATGAGTTGCCGGCCTATGACGACATGAACCTGTTCGTCACGAAACCCGCCGAGTTTTCTCCGCCGGTCAATGCGGATCTGGTTCCGCAGTTCAACTACGTTCACAAGGTGGCCGGTTCCCCGGACCTGCGCTTTGGCGGAATAAAGCCCACGGGTCCGCTGCCGCAGGCTGTGAATTTTCCACTGATCGAGGACAAAGTCGGCGACGATTTCCAGTGCCTCGTATTCGGCGACACGCAGCCTTACACAAATGCGGAGATCAGCTATGTGCGCAAAACCGTAGGCAACATGCTGACCAACCGCGACAACTCCAAAACCCAATGCCTTCTTTTCGAAGGCGACGTGATGGGTGATGATCTGTCGCTTTATCCGCGCTTCAAGAAGATCATCGCAACCGGCGGCGTGCCGCAATATTACGTTGCCGGCAATCACGACCTGGATTTTGATGCCACAAGCGATGCTGACAGCTTCGATACCTTCCGCCGCGAATTCGGTCCGGAATACTACTCCTTCGACATCGGTCAGGTGCATTTCATCGTTCTCGATGACGTGCGCTACCCGTGTAACGGTGTCGATTCCCACGCGTTTTGCGATCTGTCCGCCAAACCGTCCTACAACGGCGTTATCTCCGAGCGCCAGCTGGAATGGCTAAAGAACGATCTGGCCCATGTACCGGACGACAAACTGATTGTTCTCAGTGCCCATATTCCATTCGTCACCTACACGGATGCCTCCGCGCAGAAACATCAGGTGGACAATCTGGACAAACTCTACGAGTTGATCGGCGACCGGCCGGCACTCGGCCTTTCCGGCCACACTCACACCACCGAACAGATCCTGCCGGGTGAGTATTTCAAGGGTTGGAAGGAAGCAACCAATACCGGACCGGCGAAATTCCACCAGATCGTTACGGGAGCCGTTTCCGGCTCCTGGTGGGCTGGCGATCTCAACAATTCGGGTGTGCCGCATGGGACGCAGCGCCTCGGCTCCCCACGTGGCTACTATGTTCTGGATTTCTCCGGCCCGGACTATGTCGATACCTACATGACCTTCGAAGGCACCAGGGACGATCAGTTGCACGTCTCGTTCAATACGCCTCGGTTCCGCGACTGGGCGGAAAAACTGGTCAGCTACACGGATCTTTACGATGTCCCGAGCGACATCACGCCGCCGGTCACGGTCAACGATCTCGGCGACATGGACATGCTGACGAAGAAGGATCTCGCCGACACCACCTATGTTGCCGTCAATGTCTGGAACGGTTCAAAGGACACCGAGGTTTCATTCAGGATTAACGGCGGTTCTGCATCCGTGGCGATGCGCACGCAAAAAGGTGACGGCGAAGAAGTCCTCGACGGTCCGACCTATGCTGACCCACTCGCGCTTGCCAGGCAATCAACAAACGGCAGAATTGCTGTGAGGAGCACCGAAGGCGGCGAGGTAAACTCCGGGTTCTATACCTGGCAAGGCACTCATTGGACCGGTGCTGCGGGGCCGTTCCAGAACTGGATGCTGTCCACGAAGTCCAGCCACCTATGGCGTGCGGAGCTCCCCAAGGACCTGCCGGTCGGTATCCATACGCTGGAGGTAACAACAACGGACCGCTACGGACGCTCCTTCCGGCAGACCAAAACCTTCGAAGTTGTTGAAGACCTGCCGCAAATGACATGGCAGGATAAATTCTGGCAGTAACCTGAATGCATTCGTGACAACACTCTGAAAGCACCGTCCCGGACACACAGCGTGCCCGGGACGCATAACGGAAGAGATGCAGATGATCCGCGCTTACATTGCCGATATTGTAAAACACCTGGTGCTGAGCCTGTTTGTCATTGTGCTCTCCGGAATTCCCGCCGCCGCACATTTTTCAGTAGGTACCAAGGTCCGTACGATCCTGGTTGCAGAAACAGACGGCGTCCTGATCGCGTATGTTCGCGTACCGGCGCCGCTTGTTTTTTCTGATCTGGTCGGCAAGGCACAGGTCGATCAGGCTCCTCTCCTCTCTCCATTCCTGCGGGTTGAAACAACCGGTAGCGGTGTCCGTTACCGGCTCGACACGGAAGCCATTTTCCAGGATCGTTCCAGCTTCGAAGACCGTCTTCAAAAAACACTGATATTCTCTCAGGCCGGACTGGATCTGCCATCATCAATCACTGGTTTCACGATCCGGAACAACCGACCGATACAGGCTCTGGACAGTGTCGCCGCGGCAAGAGCTGCGCTCATTGCAGAAAGCTCCTCACTGGA